GGCATTGTAGGCCCTAGTCGACTAGTCGTGAAAAAAATTGAGGTAAACGAGGTGCTGCAAAATGCTACAAAAACACGTCCGACATTCTTATGTATGGCAGTACTTCAACGAAGATGTAACCAACTCCACAGTGAAGTGTCAGTTGTGTACAGCTGTACTGAAGTACAATACAAATGCATCTGCTATGCGCAACCATCTGAAGATGAGACACCCGCTGCCGACAGCTAGCACTAGCAGTAATGCTAGCACCAGTGAGCAACGGACCGGCGTCAGCACTGAACAGAGGCAAACGAACAGCAAGAAAACACGGGTCAACAGTGATGCGGATGATGAGCTACGGGATTACTGCCAGTGGACACCGCATATCCCCACAATGGATAATCCACTGGAGTGGTGGGCAGAAAACGTGCACCGCTTCCCCCGCTTTCGAGGAGCTACCTGGCTATTCCAGCCACAAGCACCCCGAGTGAGAGGGTTTTTTCCCTGGCAGGCAACACTGTCACCCGAAAGCGGTCAAGCCTCCTTCCCTCACATGTCGATGCGTTGGTGTTCAAACCAAAAATATGGAAAGGTGGACGTTATCGTGGAGGACAGCGAATAAAGTGTTGCGCAATGCGCTGTTGCGCACTGGATTTACGTGGCATTTATGTAAACAAGAGTTTTTTGCTGTCGATTTTGGTGAGTCCAGTGTTTGTTATTTACTCAGCCATGTAACACAAATTAAAATGCGGTGTTTAATGTTACTGTATGAGTTCCAATAGAAAATACAGTTGTAAACCTCTCTTTGTGTGTCTTTATTATGACGTAACGACTAGTCGACTAGTCGACTACTATTTTGAAAAACTAGTCGACTAGTAAATATTGGTAGTTGTGAAACCCCTACAGCATACAAGCGACCAAAACACAACATATGCTGGTTTTGCTGGCATACCAGCAGACCAGCATTTATCTATCACCAGCTTATGTTAGTATTAAATATACAATGTATTCTGGTAATTATCAAAATAAAGACATTTTATTGTCCTTTATTTTGAAATTCAGGTCCTGACGGACGGCAAAAGAACAGAGATTATATAATTAAACAAATAAATAAAAACAAGGATAACTGTGTTATTATTGAGTAAATAAAAGTGTGTTAATTAGAAAAGAATAACAAATTAGAAGGAACAATTTTATTTTATTTTTTTCATATTTCAGTATTCTGAGCCCCATTTATTTTCCTCACGGACGGCAAAAAAAGTCAGACATTATACGATTTAAAATAAAATCAATAATCGTAGTACAGGCCTCTGGTATCAACAGTTTAGGTGGGTGGGGGGGTAATGGTGTGGGGGATATTTTCTTGGCATATGGGCCCCCTGGTACCAATTGAGTATTGTTTTTATCGCCGCAGCCTACCTACCTGTTGTTGCTAACCATGTCAATCCCTTTATGAACACAGTGTACCCATCTTCTGATGGTTACTTCCAGCAGGATAACGCACCATGTCACAAAGCTCAAGTCATCTCAAACTGGTTTCTTGAACATGACGATGAGTTCACTGTCACTCTAATGGCCTCCACAGTCACCAGATCTAAATCCTATAGAGCACCTTTGGGATGTGGTGGAACCAGAGATTCACATCATGGATGTGCAGCCGACAAATCTGCAGCAACTGTGTGATGGTATCATGTCAATATGGACCAAAATCTCTGAGGAATGTTTCCAGCACCTTGTTGAGTCTATGCCATGAAGAATTAAGACAGTTTTGAAGGCAAAAGGGGGTCCAACCTCGTACTAGCACCTACCTAATAAAGTACCTAATAAAGTGGCCGGTGAGTATAATTGGCAGGTATTTTAAACCAATGGCAGTTCCCCTGCTTGGTAGTCATAGATGAAGGAAAATAAGTTTGCTGTTTACATACCCAGGTCGAGAGTGTAAAGGTAATCCTTCAATTCTATGCTCTGAACTTTATTTTAACTTTTACTCAAGCTAATATAAAAGTATCAGTACTTTTTCAATGTTCACAAGTTAAAAGAAAAGCGTAGATGCATCTTATTTTTATTCATTCCAATTATCTTTTTAGCAACACATTTTAATATGTTATGTGTTGAACTGCACTGTACCAATGCAATGATCTGATGATTCATAAGGAAATGCTTTCAGTAGTGTACCATGAAATGAAAAAAATCACAATCATGTGTGTCAATAACATTTATTCATATGGTGGACAATCCTTAGTAGTAGGAAACACACACACATTGGATGAACACACCCAATGTGTGAAGCACTAGAGGTGAGTTCACAGCACAGATCATTTAGCTTTTCCAAAATCATATGCCTTCTCCAACTGTATTGATTCTCATACTAAAAATCCAGACAACATTGATGCACCTCCTCAGACAAACAAATACAGTTTGGAATTGCAACACAGTTAAACATTTGAAAATAACATCTAAATGTTGCTGCAAGGTAAAATAATGACAGAACAAAACCAGAACAAGAACTTGAAACAAATAAATTATTCAAGTAGTCACACAGCAGTCCTCACAACACCATAACATCTTCTGATGGGTTGCTCTAGTTGATGCTGTTATAAAAATCTTTAATCTAAAGTTCATCTTTATCCTCTCCTTGACAGAAGCATGCTGCTCTCTGTCCATTCATGTAGGGCCTGCAGCCCAGAGTCCATACCGTGTTGAAAGTGGTGTCTGCTACTGCTTCACATGCTGGGGAGAGGAAGGGACAGAAACAGGGATGGCAGTCAGTACAGAGCATTATGCATTATTTATTCACCATACAGTTTATTTCTTATATATTAATTTATCAGTACAGTTTTTAATCCTCCTGTCGTGTTTGTTTCTCACCAATTACTTTGGTGTCTGTTTTAACTGCTTAATTTTATTTATTTATTTATTCAGTTATTTAACAGGGGAGCACATTAATCAACATTTCTGTTCTGTTGAGTTAGCCAAGAGGCTATTTTTCATCTGAAGTCCCTGGACAGATTTTCGAAGTCACCCTAAAGACAAATCATCACCAGATTGTATTTACCATCCTTTTAAGATCTCTTTGAAAGGGTTTTATACATTAAAATAAACCCACATATGACATTTCAAATGTGATGGAGGAGCAGGGTTGTGAAAAGTGCAATTAAGTATCCCAACTGATCCTCATGACGTCATTTTCAGTAGTCAAATAATAGGTTTATGTAAGGCAACTTGGGCCAGGCCAATGGTTTTAAGTTCTGTATGGAAGTAGAGTGTGTCCCTAAATTAGTTGTTGAGTCAATAAAGGGGAAGTTTACCTATAGGGAAAAAAACAGGGATAGGCTCAATAACCTTGCCCTGGATGAAAAGAAAGGTTAAATAGTTACCAACCTTCAACTTTTGACACAAAGCCGAGGCTCTTCTTGAGGTCGGAGCAGATGCTGTGGAGGCACCAGCGGAACTTGGAGTCGCAGCGGTACTTGTTGGAGCCGCAGGTGTCGTAACACATGTCCAGCTGATTGCAACACTTGGTCATGGCGGGGATGCCCATGTCCACCTGGTACACAGCAGAGATAATACAAATGTTTATATGCAAGTGTTGGTGATTAACAGGTGGTTAGTTTTCCAAATGTAGACTTCTCTGAATATTAAGGGACCGTATGAAAATGATCATGGGTGGGCACTATGTATTATTATCCTTTTAGTGAAGGATTGTTTTTGCCTGTTTTTTATATGTAATATCAGGATAGATTTACTAAGTACATTTATTAAAAAATGAAGAATCATACCTTTAAAATAGTTACAGTACGTCCAAATTATAGTGTTTTGAGTTCCATAGTAAAGGTATGTTTTGGCATGAAAGGAGACAAAACAATCATACTTTTTTTGTCAGATTTGAGAGGGGACATAGATCTTAGATTTTTAAGGAGAAGAGCATTATTTTGCCCTCCAACCAGCCTTTCCGCCAGGGGGGCGTCTTGCCGTCATTTGACGCCCTTATTCAGCTCGGGACGCCCTGAACTCGAGCCGAGGGCGTCCAAAAACATTAATAATTCGAGAGAAGATCGAGAGTTTTTATCGCTTGAAATGAAGAAAAGGAAAAAGGACAAGGATATCCCTCTGTTGGAGGGGCAAAGGAGTCTGGTGGGATTCTTTTCTGAGTATTGAAGATCGTTTCCCCGACATCGGTGGTGCCTGCCACAGCACACGGAACGTGCGTGATTTGGACGTGATGAGCCGTGCTAGTTGAACACACGCGTGAGCTGCGAGCGCCGGAGCCTCGCAGCGGCGAAACTGAGGCTTCGTGGTAAACTGTGGTAACATGAAGAGCCGTTTTGGGAGCCCCCCCCCACGCTCTCGGGGTGGACGACCTCTCAGCCCTGGTCTGGCGGAAACACTGCCTCCAACCATCTACTCAAATTAAGCTAAATTCAATATAAAGGTAGTTCAGTACAACCAACTTGTTCGGCTAATGTCCGAAGCAAAAATATCACAACGCTAAGAACCTGAGTGCACCTGTTTGCTCATTCAGCTCTTAGTTAAAAAATGCAGGTACCTTTCAGTGTTTATTACATTTTTTTATCTTTTCCATAATTCTGTGGAATATTAGTTCACTCCTTAAAAGTATTGTTCTATTAACCTGTCATGCTTAAAAGTGGGACAAGATTGATACATTAGGGCAAAGGATGTCGCAACTATGTTTCTGGGTCGAGCCTTGCTTTTGAAAATCTTTAAACATATCCCTCTTCCTGACCCACAATACATTTGTGTACAGCCCCTTATGCGGATTCCACTTTTTACAGCCTTTACATTTAAAAAAATTATAAATCCACAAAAATCTGCCCTTAGAGACAGAAGAAGCATACCCCATCTGGAACAGGAAGACCAAAGAAGTAGGAGCCACAGCCGTCAGGTTCAGGCATCTGGTAGCCCGGGCGAGGAAGAGGAGCTTTACCTTTGAGACAGGGGAAGCAAATCAACATATCACATGTGGATATTGTTTCACATCAGGCCACTGGAAACATGCTAATCTGGCTGGTTTGGTGACCATGTGGCTTTAGAAATAAATCCAGGTTTGCACATGATGAACAAAGGTCAATTATTTGGTTTATCCATATCCATCCACATGTTATTAGTCACATTCCCAAGGCCCCGACAGGAAACCCCTCCTATCATGCTCGGGTCACAGTCCGCTTCCAGGCCCTCTTCCAGATGATAACAAAGATGATAAGTCAAAGAAAATCCTATCAAGTGATTTGTATCAGAACATTACTATCACTGGGTTGCATTATTGTTCTACACAGGACACAACATCATAGCAACTTTCAACATTCGACTATATAACAAGAACAATATATATTTATTTGGATAAATAAGTCAAAAAGGTTGAATTTTTGAAACAGTTTGCTTTATTTTGACTGAATATAAAAAACTGAATTAAAAAAAATCTGTTGCAGTTTATGTTATACTTTCTCCACTTATAGTACAAAAGAAATGTAAACAGGATAAGAGTTTTGTGTAAAATAAATTAATATTAACATTATTATTCTGAAACTTTGCAATTTTAAAAGACTTGAATTGCAGTTTACCCGTGGCTTTTCTTTTTATGTATATTTTCCAAAAGATTTAGGTACATATTCCCCAATAACTTTACCTTTATTGTATTGAAAACAGCACAGAGTATAGGAGACCCAACCCTAAACTAACCCAACCATTTCCTCTGCATTCAAGCAGTGTTAAGTGGAAACTGTAACCTTTCATTTCGATTAAAAAAATACAAATATAAACCGATATATCCATTATATATATATATATATATATCTATTCTGATGCATTGGGCTTTAATCGACTTACCATGTCGACAGCGGTATTGGCACACTCCATCACGTCCCCCCATGAACTCCAGCATGGAGTCAAAGTATCCGCCGACCGACTCAAAGCCGCCTCTCACGGAGTTTAGTCCCCAATCACCGTCCTCCCCCTCCCCCTGTGTGCCATCAGAGGCTGGGGGGGGTGGTGGTGGTGGGGTTTCAGCAGCTGGCTCCTCAACATCCTGACTGAGAGCACTGTGGAGGCACAGGCCCAGCAGGAGCAGCATGGGAGCAACGAGAGCCCAACGGGTCATTCTGGAACTCAGAAAGCTCAATAGCAAGAGTTCAGAGACTGAGGGAAATCACAAACACACTCAGAGGCAGTCCTGAAACTGTGTGCGTGTGGGACCTGAACTTTGAGCCAGACACAGAGATGGCCTCATATGTGGAGGAGCAAAGTCCAGCCTCTATCTCCTCGTTTTGTCACATCTGAGCTTTTATCACTCGCTGATTAATGAGAGGTGGAGTGTGTTAATTTTAATCCCATTTACTCAAGAGTTAATCCTTCTAGACAGCAGCAGATAGTAACATGGAAGTGGTTTTGCTGTAAATCAGAACATCCCCTTTGTGTTCTGCAGCCTGTTTTGTAAATTAATCTACACATTTTCTTATAATATTAGTGGTAGAAGAATAACCTGAATACTAGAAGTAAAAGTCCTACATTCAAACCTAACTAAAAAAAAAGTATGAAGGATCATCAACGGATATCAAAAGTTCCCTGAAAATGTTTCCCTGTTAGTGTTTTTATTATCTGTCTAAGTACTCCTAAGTGTTTTCTGACCTTTGTTTCCCTTATCATAAAAGCATGTTAAGATTGGAAAAATCTGGAGATAAACTGGTGTTCATGCTTGTGTGCAGGCCTTCTATTAATTGATTGAATAAAATGGCTGCTAGATTAGCATTGGGAAAGTCTCGGATGAGCGAGAAATGCCAATTCAAACTTTGGAAATAAACTACAATCTGTCAATGTGTGCCTCCCAGACTGTTTGCAAATTGTGCCATCAAGGCTAATCCCAGAACCTTAAATTGACCCTTGCCTACTTAATGCAAAGAGAAAATAAATTAGTTGATGAAGTCATGAAAGTGAAACCAACCCCATTTCATGGAAATGAGGGTCGTACAGTATCTAAGGGTTAATACAGATGGATCATCCGCAATAAACCTGAACAGCTAGAACATCTCCTCCTTGAGTCCAATATTGATTGTTTGGGAATATCTGAATCTTGGCTAAAGCAGTGGTCACCATCCACTATTGTATCTATGGCAGGATATAATGTGTTTAGGATGGACAGACTGAAGGGAAAAGGAGGTGGCGTGTTGCTTTATGTGAGGAATACCATTACTTGTAGGGAGATTGCACTCCCGGCTAATATTGAGTTTGATTGTATTGGTGTGGAAATCACACTATCTGAGGAAATGTCCCTCACCATGATTTGCCTGTGTCGACAAACCACCGCTAAGATGGATTTCTATGACCAGGTAAAACTCCTGCTGAATTCCTGTGACTCCAACAAAGAGCTAATTATTGTAGGAGACTTTAATATAAACTGGAATGACAAACAAAATAGAAAGAGCTTACAACGGATCATGGATAAACACAACTTAATACAACTAATGGATCAACCGACTAGAATGACCAAAACCTCCAAGACTATGATAGATTTATTATTTACAAACAAAGCTGACGGAATAGTTCAAACCTACAACTTCCTGACTGGTCTTTCTGACCATAATCTTATTCTTTTTGCCAGGAAACTCACAAAAAAAAGGTTCATGGCCACACCTAAAACCCCTGCCTTGGGTTCACGCTTCATCCCCAAAAACCTGCAACAACGTTTTATGGATGCAGTGAAAATGATTGATTGGGGGGACACTCTGTCCTCTGAAGACATTGGTGAAAACAGTAATCTGATTATATCTAAAATTAACGATGCAATGTCTTCCTTCTCAAGGAGAGGGTGCCTTAGGGACAGGAAGGAACATCATCTTCCCTGGCTGAATCTACAGTGCAGGAATTTCATGAAATCTAGAGACCAACTACTAAAGCAGAGCTTGAAATCCGGACTATCCACTGATAAACAGAAATTCACTCATGCTCGTAAGAAGGTAACTCAAACAACAAGACAGGCCAAAGCTAACTTCTTCATCAATATGATTGAAGGTGCGAAAGGTAACAGTAAAAAAGTTTGGCAAATCCTACATAAACTATTAGGTAAACAAACCTAACAGGAAAATACTGT